GAAAATAACCGTGGCAGATGTTTAAGGGCCCCCACACGCACACGCGCAAAGAGAAGGGCCAATGCCTATCCACAGATCTGCTGCTGGGATGGGAGGAGAGGAGAGGTTCCGAGTCAGAGGGCTGGGGCTCATGACCGGATGCTGCTGCTAGGCCTGGACCACAAGGCCAAGAGCAAAAGGGGCCCAGGACTGGAACTCTAGTGCTGCTTCCCTACCCAGTTCTTCAAAGCTATTTTTATTATGTTTGTGTGTGATGATGTCGTGTGGCATGGTGTTCCCCAGACTGTGGTGGCCGGAAGACGGACCCGTGAGTCAGTTCCTTCCCTCCCCGGCTCTGTGGGCTCCAGGGATTGAACCCAGGTAGTCAAGCCTACACGGCAAGCCCTTCACCCGCTGAGCCTTCTCCTGGGCCTATTTAGCGAGTGGGTTCACTGCTGTGAAAGCCCAGCAGATCAGTGAACTCTTTCCTCTCCCCACTCTGCCTCCTCTTCAAGGCCAAGATAACAACCGCCTCTGTGTGTAGGAGACTCTGCCCTTAACTGACTTCTACCCTCCTCCGCAGGGCTCCCTTAGCCTTGAAGGCTATCAGCCCCAAAGTGCTGTTCGGTGAACCCTACTGGCCTATGGGGCAGAACTGATTGCTAACTGTTACTTGTTTCCACTTGGTAGCTCTAGTAGGCACCTTGGGTACCTCAATGAGTATAGGTCTCAGTAGCAAGGGAACACGGTCATCATCGGTCATCGGTTGGCTAATACTGGCCGTAGCTGGTACTCACATGTCCACAGCGTCTGTTTACTATGCTCTGTGATCTTCACAGTGAATGTATTTGCTGAGTGTTAGCTTGTGTTACTAGGGAAGACTCTCAGGAATTAAAGAATCCAGATAAAATGTCATTGTCGTTAGAAGTTCATCTCCTCAGCCGGGCAGTGGTGGCACACAACCTTTGATCCCAGCACTCGGGAGGCAGAGGCAGGTAGATCTCTGTGAGTTTGAGGCCAGCCTGGTCTACAGAGCGAGTTTCAGAACAGCTAGAACAGTCAGAGCTACACAGAGAAGTTCATCTGCTCATGAGTGAGTTTCCTAGCATGCATCCAACTGGAAATCAGCCCGTGAAAGACTTTCCTGACAGAATGACATGGTTAGTTAGCCAGACCATTAATCAACTTTTTACTCAACTGGGCCTTGATTTTCTCTTTAAAAAGTGGCAAATCAGGCTGGACAGAGGCTCAGGGGTCACAGAACTTCTTGCTCTTCAGGGGGCCCAGGGTTGACTCCCAGCACCCACATGATGGTTCATAACCATCATAACTCTAGAGTCTGGTGGGGTGCCTTCTTCTAACTTCTCTGAGCATCAGGAGCACATGTGGTAAACATACACACATGCAGCAAAACAATCACACACATACATCTTTCAAATGTTTTTCTTGAGGCTGGAGAGATGGCTCAGTGGTTAAGAGCACGGGCTGCTCTTCCAGAGGTCCTGAGTTCAATTCCCAGCAACCATGTGGTGGCTCACAGCCGCCTATAATGAGATCTGGCGCCCTCTTCTGGTGTGTAGGCGCACATGGAAAGAATGCTGTATATATAATAAAAAATAAATCTAAAAAAAAAAAATAAATAAACCTCCTGATCCTCCTGCCTCTACTTCCCAAGTGCTGGGATCACAGGTGTGCAGCACCATGCTGACTTCTGGGACTGGGGATTAGCTGCAGGGCTCTGTCATGCTGAGCAAACACTCGGTAGCCACTGAACTACACCCTCAGATCTGTGTGTAACTTTAAGACAGGAAAGGATTCATTTACAGGTCAGGTATACATCTCTGCTTCCATCAGTGACTGTGTGACTCACAAACCAATCTATTTTTATATTTGCTATTTAATTCATATTTTAATATTTAATACTTATGCTATCTTGCTTTTTTTTCTGATGAGCATTCCTCTGGGTCTGCACGCTTGTCCAAGTATTCCTCAGGATAAATTTCCAGAATTGGAATCACAGTAATAACCGCCCACCCCCAGATGATACTTAACTGAATGCAGGCACTAACGCAGACTTAGGGAACACAATGACTGGAGTACTATGATGTGGGTAAAATTTTTAAAGGAGTTAAAATTCAATTTAAACCAGGCGGTGGTGGTGCACACCTTTAATCCCAGCACTCGAGAGGCAGAGACAGGCCGATCTCTGCGGTTTGAGACCAGCCTGGTCTACAGCGTGAGTTCCAAGACAGAGTGGTTACACAGAGAAACCCTGTCTCAAAAAGAAAGAAAAAAAAAGCCAACTGAAAAAAAGGGAAGAAATTCAGTGAATTCAGAAAGATATTTTCCATATCTGAGCCACTTAGACATATAAAAAGACATATGTGAATGTTCTAGAATGTAATGTTGACTTGAAGGACAAAACAGAACCTATTTTAAAAGAGATTTTTATTAGTTATTTAGTCAAATGAGATAAAAGTTAAGCATTAAAAGATAAGCTCACTTTTTGCAAAAACTAACTTCCTCCAAAGTTAAAGAAAAAAAATTTAATAGTCTGATTTAAGAAATACACGTTCATTTATAGAAAATGTGGAAAACATATAGAGAAAACGCCTCTCAGAATCGAGCAAATACATACTAACTTATTTTCTACACAAGTGTCTTTTAAAGCAACCTTTTCATTCTCCCGTCTCCCATTCCTGCCATGCAAAACACGGTTGAGGGAGATCAGGCTGTGCCTTCCTGACTGGTTCTGACTTGCTCTGGGCTACGTCCTACTCCACCAAACTTTGTCTAAACCCACCTGGAGGCCTGCACACCTCCTGAGCCTCAAAGCTGACAGTGACCAGCACGGTGGGGGCCTCCCAGTCCACAGCCCACCTCCTGCACAGCACAGCCAGGCTTCCCCTCAACCTTTCACACACCCATCTGTTAACTACACCTAAAGTTTACACAGCTACCACCTCAGAGTTTGAGAGGGCAACCCACTGATTTCGTCTTCACAGCGCCCTCCCAGGCAGAAGGAGCCGGTATCCCCCCACTCAAGAGGAGAGGGAACTGAGGCAAGGCAAGGTTAGTGAGTGGCAGAGCTTGGATGTGAAGTCCTAAGTGCAAGGACTCCAAGGCCATCACCCAGCAGCTTTGAGGTCAGCAAAAGGCAGTTAGGAGGAGGAACTTAACTTAATCATTTAACTTAATCACCTCTTAGTGGTCCCAAAGAGGCAGGACTGCTGAGGGGCAGTCCTAGCTAGGAAAGAGGCTCCCTCTCTCAGGGACTGACCCTCCACATCTGTCCCTACAGGTGATTAATGAAATGGTTTCTTGTCCGATGTCTTCTGCTTAGTCAAATATGCCAGGCAGGACTTAAAATCTTAAAAGTCTAGAAAATTCGAGACAGGAAGGACCCTTAAAGCCCACCCCAGCCGAGGCCCTGGCCTTTCAGTGTCTTTCTCGCCTCTGGTTAAGCTACTTCCTCTCTCAGCACGGTTAGAGATGGCATGGCCGAAGGGCTAACTTCCTTCTCTGACTTTCAGTGAGTGATGGTTTACAGGCTGGCAAAGAGAAAGTGAAATTGAACAAGATTCAGCACCCTGGAAACATTTGGTAACAGATGTACCCACCGTGAATTGCTGTGTCACAAAAAAACCAAGTCGTGCCCGGTTTTCCAAGGAGGCTCTCCACACCTCCCAGTCCCGCTACTGCCAGGAGCCTCCTGAAAGGACCTACAGAAGAAGTGTGTCGTAGCAAGGGGTACCAGCGTGGCCTTCGCAAGTCGCCTATCCCTTTTATTTGCAAAGGAAGCAATTCTCGTTGGCTGAATGCTTCTACTCCACAAACGAACTCCCCAATTACAAATGTCAGTACCTTATCGGCCATCTCAGTGCCCCCATCATTTACATCCAGGACTCAGACCCTCCCCCTATGATCACTACCTGGTGCCATGGTAATCAGCATGTGACCGCAGGCCACCTTGGTTCTTCAGCGGTTCCAGGGTCCTATGGCTAGCCTTATCTGATGAGATGGAAAGCTCCCAGGTGGCCAAATGACTGCTTCTACCGACTAGTGTGCGCCAGATAATGTTCATGGAGGGTTAAGACATGGCCCCTATCTTCAAGCATCTCACAGAAGGAAAAACCAATCCTGTGCAACACTAAGCGCAGTCACAGAGCTGTAAACAGGAGCCAAGGCGCTGAGAAGAGCGGCTTCTACGGCAGGGTGAGGCAGCTGCGAGGGGAGGTAACAGAACCGGTTTTAAAAGGCTAGTGAAATCAGTCGGGCAAAGGGTGGCGATGGGCAAGCCAGGCAGGAGGGCCAGCATCGTCAAGCACAGCAAGGAGAGAAACAGTCCAACGTTGCTGGAACACCAAGTGCAGGGCAGGGAGTGGAGGGCGTTCAAGCTGGAACAGTGGGCCTAGCAAGGTGCAGCAGGCAGCAAGCCCGCGCAGTTCTCGCTGACCCGGTACCGGGAGGGCCGCTTACGCAATTCGCAAGTGAACGAATTTGAGCGCCCGCGGAGAGGCTGTCAGTGACGGTCGGTGCTGGCGCCGCCAGCCCCCCCTCTCCCCAGAGCACCTGTGCGCCTTCGCAGCCGCCAAAGCAGACGCAGGCTGAGCCGATCCACCAGATCTCAAAGCGGACCCCGGCCCCGGCCAGCGCAGCGCGGCACACCCCCTCCCCCCTCCCCGCCCCGGACCCCCCGAACTCGCTTCGGTGACAGCGCCTGTTGACGCCCGGTGGCGGTTTCTCTGCAGTCGCCACCAGGTTTTCCCGAAGAGCAGTCCCCGCTGGCCTCCCCGACCCGGGGCTGGGGGGCGAAGGCTACCTCGGCCCGGCGATCACCAGGCCGGGCGCGGCGGGGAAGGGCCGGTGGCGTCTGGGGCTTTGCGCAAGGCGCAGTGCCGAGGTCCGTCCTCCCGGGCCGGCGAGCGGCAAAGGTCTCGGGCGCGCGGGGCAAGGGCAGGGGCGGCGCGCGGAGCCGCTCGGGGCAGGGGCGCGCGTGGGCGCCAGGCCGCTGTCATTACCTGGCCAGCGTGGTTTTCCCCGAGCCCGGGAGGCCGCGCAGGAGGTAGAGGTGTTTCCTAAAGCTGTGGCGACGCGGAGGTGGCCCCCGCGCGGGCGGCGGCCGAGGAGGCGGCTGCTGCTGCTGCCGCTGGTGGAGGCTCAGCCTCCCAAACGATTCCAGAAAACTGTCCTCCATGGGGAGGGGGCTGGCGGTGAGGGCCCTGGGTTCCCTTCCTGAAGTCACGGTCTTGGCCAAAGCTGTTGTTTTTGTGACTCTCCGGCCATGTGATAGATGGAGGGGCGGGCGCTCGGAGCCCAGCCCCTCCTTCGCAGCCGCGCGAACCGCGGGAGGGGGCGTCTCTACCTGCGAGGCCGGGGTGCTGGGAGACTGACAGCCAGGGAAGCGTGGGTGACGCAGCCCCCAGCGCTCCCTCCTGCCTCCCACTGTCTTCCGCTGTCCTTCCCGAGGGAAGGGGCCCGGCCCGGGGACACAGTGGGAGGTTTTCCTGAAGTCACTGTGGAAGAAGCCCAGCCCACTGCTACAGCTCTGCCTCATCTCACTTCAGACAGGCCTAGACCTTGATAGTAAATAGTTTCCGTTGGCGATTAAAGAATGTGACAAGCGCATCTGAGCAGTAACAGAAAAGGCCATTGTCTCCCCTACTGCGCGTGTACCAGCACCTGGCTGGTGTCCCAAGCAAGGGCTGATGCACACTCCTCCAGAGTGCTGTACCGTTGCTTAGTACCTTTATCGGCCTGCTAAACTATCCTTAGAAAGCTTTACTGAACTTTAAGTCTCTTGCTCCTTAGGTATCAGGTGGATTTAAGGAGCTGCATAGATACCTCTCTGCTTCCACATAGCAGGGAGATTGTCCTGGGACCGTTTGTAGAAAACCAAGTTCGAATTGCAGGAGTTGGCGGCACCCATTGGTAGGCACTGGTTGTGACTCTCCAGTATTTCGCTATAGAAGCAATAGGATGAGCCTGGTTTTTGGAATGAAACAGAGTGTTCAAAATTTGCATCCTAGAAAATCCAAGATATTGGTGACTTTAGCTACAATTAATTTATGTCTGGCACTGAAGGTAAGGGCATTATGAAAAAGAACTGTGGGGGAAGTCCCTCTAAGACTTAGAATCTAAGTTAAAGACTAGAGATTTCCCGACCAGCATTAGGAAGGGGAACTGCCTGGCTATCTCACTAGCTTTGGGCTCCCCCTGGGTTGGGGTGTGAGAGGGAGGCAGGCTGCTCTCCCTGGAAATTCCCCTCCCAGCACGAAGCACGCTTCCTTGGTCCTTCTTAGTAATGCAACGGCATCTGTGCACAGTGACAGGAAGAATGAGGAACAGAGAGGAAACGTTCGTCACAGCAGTAGTTGTTTATACGTCCCTGATGTATGGGGAAGTGAACCTAGGACCTCCTGCACACTGAGCACAGCTTCAGTACACCTTTTCAAACACGGTTTTGCTCAGTCTCAAAGACTACCTTGCTCACTCCAATCCCCCTCTGTCCAGTAAGGAGGCCATGGAGCGTGGGGATGGTACAAAGTGAGACTCAAACACACATTGAGGCCAAGCGCACGCCTTTAATCCCAGCACTCGGGGACTGAGACGGGGGGGGGGGGGGGGGGGGGGGTGGNGGGGGTGGGGGGGGGGGGGGGGGGGGGGGGGGGGGGGGGGGATCTCTGTGAGTTCAAGGCCAGCTTGGTCTACAGAGAGAGCTCCAGTACAAGCTCCAAAGTTACACAGAGAAACCCTGTCTCGAAAAACCACCCCCTCTAAAAAATTGAGATGGCTCAATGGGCAAGAATGATTACTGTGCAAGCATGAAGACATGAGTTCAAATCCCCAGTCCTCATCTAAAAAAAGAAGGGCATGACTATGGCTGCACACGCTGAAACCTTGGTGTTGAGAGAAGAGTTCATTGCTCAATTAGCCCAGCAGCTACAGCTACAGCAACAGTGAGAGAGCCTGTCTTAATGGAACCAGACAGAGAGCACACGGAAGACACCTGGCATCCTACAGGCATGCACCTGCACACCGTCGTGTGCGCACATGCACACACACACACACACACACACACACACACACACATGGGGGGGGGATGGAGAGATGGCTCAAGGGGTAAGAGCACCAGCTGAGCACCAGCTGGGCTTGTTGGTGATTTGCATCTCCTATTAGAGGGGTGGGGAGAGTCATGGTCCCTCACCTGTGTAGTCATCCCCCTACTACCTGCTGTATGCAACCCTGTCCTGACAACATGCAACCCTGGGGAGGGGCTGGAGGACACAGGCCTGGAAGACTAGTGACGGGGCTCCGTCTGTTCAGCTGTGGGAGAGCCCTCAGCCCTGCTGGGTGAAGACTTTCTGGTGTGGCCTTCTAGGGAAGGCAGCTTTCACACCCAGCAGGGACCCACTCATCTCTGCCCTGTGAGAAAGCCCAGTGGATCTCCGGAGTGAGCATTGGCCAAGTGGTGGCTCAGTTTGTTGTTAGGGTCTTTTTTTTTTAATTTACTTATTATGTATATAACATTCTCCCTCCATGTATACCCACACACCAGAGGAGGGCGCCAGATCTCATTATAGATGTTTGCGAGCCACCATGTGGTTGCTGGGAATTGAACTCAGGACCTCTGGAAGAGCAGCCAGTGCTCTTAACCACTGAGCCATCTCTCTAGCCCCTTGTTAGGGTCTTAAAAGGAGGAATAGATGCTGCTGGTGTCTCCCCTAGTGAAGGAAATTTAGCAACAGATCTAAGGCCCTTCTGGCATCCATGGGCACCCAAACGTGTGACATACGCGTGCATGCGCGTGCACACACACACACACACACACAAGTGAAGATCGAAAAATACAAGCCAGGTGTGGTGGCACAGGCCTTTAATCCTAGCACTCAGGAGGCAAAGCCAGGTGAATCTCTCTGAGTTGGAGGTCAGCCTGGTCTACAGAGTAAGTTTCAGGACAGCCAAGGCTACCCTGTCTCAAAAAATAAAACAAGCAAACAAAACAAAAACAAAAAACCCCAAATAAACAAAAAAGATGTGGAAAAACAAGAAGTACAACTCAAAAGAGAAACCGGGCAGACAAGCCCTCTGCAGGAGCCTGCTGTGCACGTCCTACCTGGCCCCACCCCTACTCACTCTTTTGTAAACTTAGGAGGTTCCAGGGACCAGATTCAGTACCACAGCATGTCCAGCATGCACTTACTGTTAAGCACACCCCTAGGACCATATCTTACTCTCTTGCTGCCAGACACCTCTCCAGAAATAAGAACCGCATCTTCCATTTCTGTAGCACCCGCTGTCTGCCACAGGCTCAAGGACACTTGGTGTGACTGCACAAGACACCCAGGGAGGGGAGTAGTCCTAAGCCATTTTGCTAAAGCTTCTTTCTGGAAGTTAGACGGGATAAATGTGGGGGAAGGTACAGAGAGCTGCAGCAATCCAGAACCCAGCATAAGGCTTGTGGCCAGTGGGTAAGATTATTAAACCATAAAGATACCAAAAAAAAAATAAATAAATAAAGCCGGGCGGTGGTGGCGCACGCCTTTAATCCCAGCACTCGGGAGGCAGAGGCAGGAGGATCTCTGTGAGTTCAAGGCCAGCCTGGTCTACAAGAGCTAGTTCCGGGACAGGCACCAAAGCTACAGAGAAAACCCTATCTCGAAAAACCGAAAAAAAAAAAAAAAAAAGAAAAAAACCCATAAAGATGGTCCAAACTGGTGGCTGCCCCCACCATGCCCACTGCTAAATATCCCAGTACTGTCCTTAGACACAGCTATAGTGGAGTGGCTTCTAACACATTCACTAGAAAGCCACAAATGTTTTGCTGTAAACAAAGAAAGAATTTTCCAGATGCCTATCTCCTCCCTGGCTGGCTGGCTGGCCGGCCCTCCTAACTCTGTCTCCCTTCTGGCTCTTCCCTCATCCCTCTTCTAGAAGACTTAGGGAAGCTGTAGGAGGCAGGGGGAGGCTTGGGGACCACAGGGCTAGTTTCAATTAAATTAAGCGCATTTAGTCGTAGCTAGTTGGGAGGCTGAGACAGAGCACTGAAAGTTCAATGACTGCCTAGGGAACTTAATGAAAGTCTGTCTCCAAAACAAGACTGCGGGAAGGAACAAGGACGGACGGGGGCAGATCTGTGCTGCCAGGATCCTGGGTCCCAGCCGGACATGGGCTCTGTGAACAACTTTTGGTTTTCTTGGCCTTTTGGGAATTCAGAGTACAAACAGAGAGCACCAACTCTGGCTCCTGTCTGAGCCTTCAGTCTGGTAACGCACAATCCAAACCGCACAGGCGAACACTGAGGAGGCCTGAGCTACTCCGAGAAACTGACCAGCATCCACCAAAGATGGCAGCTTCAAGGCAAGATTTAACTTCTGCTCTTCCTTAAAACCTCCCTGAGGTGCAAAGGAAGCTACTCTAGGGTGTCTCCGGAGGCTCTGGCTGTTTTGTTGCTGTCAGCACTTTAAACAGAAGCTAGGGAGGGCTCATAGCAACCAGAGTCTAGAAACTAGGCAGCAAAGGTCAAATGCTGATTGATCTGATCAAAAGTGTCCTAGGTTAGAGAGAGCCAAAAAGCACAACTCATCCAGCATAACCCCAATATCCAGGCGCTGGAAGATTTAGGGTGTGGGTGGAGCTTAGGTTGGAGGTAAGTTCAAAGTCCAGTCAAGAAATAGGGCTGAAGGCTGAAGGTGTGGCTGTGCACAGAGGCCCTGGGTCCTCCCCTTTCCCCTCCCCCAGGCTCTGAGGGCTGTGCACAGCAGGCCCTGAGACCCTCCAGCAACAGAACACACACACACAACACACACACACACACACTGCATCTAGACGGTTATTAAGCAAATGTCTGCATGTTGGACAGTGAGGATGAGGAAGTAGACAATCATATTTCTTCAAAAATTAAGTACAACTAAATCAAAAAAGAATAAAATACTAAAAGTAACCTCTAGTTATATGATAGGTCCCCATGATCTCTAAGCAAATTCCTGGAGGTCCAGATAGTCTGAGAATTCATAAACTGTTTATTTGTTGGTTGAACTAATACAGTATAAGAACAAACATTAGGTAGTGGCACGCGCCTTTAACCCCAGCACTCAGGAGGCAGAGGCAGGCGGATCTCTGTGAGTTCAAGGCCAGCCTGGTCTACCAGAGCTAGTTCCACGACAGGCTCCAAAGCTACAGAGAAACCCTGTCTCAAAAAAACAGAAAGAAAAAAAAAAAGAGCAAACATTAGTGTATATCCTGAGTGGAGGAGGGGCATGGTAATGAAGCGCACTATTTCTGCCGTAAGATGTGCATACATAAAGACTACATGCCGAGTGAGTAAATAAGAAAGAAAATCCATGTCCTGACAGTTTAAGTCAGACTTACTGACAAGTTCATTTTAATGTAACACGTAACTCAAAAACAAAAAGTGGACACTGGGATGAAGGCCAGGATAGGAAGCTATGGCTGGATGAGAACGGTGGGGGCTCACAAACTGAGAGAGGTGGTGGCCATGACGGTGGGTGCATTATGTGTAAACTAAAGCACACTTAAGCATGGCGAAGGTGGGGCCATGGAGAAGGGCCAGAGGTTTAGAGCATTTACTGCTCTTGCAGAGGGCCCACAACTATCTGCAGCTCCAGTTCGAGGGATCCGATCCCTCTTCAGGCTCCCGCAAGCTCCTTTATGCATGTATATACACTCATGCATACACACATAAAATAAAATAAATAAACATTGTTTAAAGGA